AGATAGATAGATAGATAGATAGATAGATAGATAGATAGATAGATAGATAGATAGATAGATAGATCTATATTCATACAATCTGTGTGTTTTTAGAGTTAAATCTTTGGAAATTTTGAATTATTAAGAGATTAAGAGAGATTATTCCACCTGCTGTGAAGAACAAGATCTTTCCTGAACTAGTCACATCCCACTTGGAGAACAGATAAGGTGACTGCCACTACTTTGTAATCTAGCTATATCAGCAGTCGCAGACCGTCACAATGTGGTCACAAGAGCTATCTTTCCAGCTGTGTTGTCCGTCTGAAATCAGCCGGCTGTGGAACGGGTGGCTCTAAGCAAGTTTTCCTGGTTGTATTCCTGCCCGCAGACCTGTCTGGAGATGATTAAGTTCGTGCTGCTGGTGAACCAGCAGGGTCAGATCAGGCTGTCGAGGTACTACCAGCCCGTAGAGCTGAGCAAGAGAGCGGCGCTGGAGGCCGACGCCGTCCGCTGCTGCCTGAGCCGCAACAAAGACCAGGTACCTCCGTCGTGCCAGGTTACCGTCACGGTAACGGTTAAAGGTCTAACTGAGCATCTCCCTGTTCCCAGTGTTCCTTCGTGGAGTACAAAGACTTTAAACTGGTGTATCGTCAATACGCCGCTCTGTACATTGTGGTGGGGGTCACGGACGGGGAGGTAAGTCACATGACCGGCCGCCCATTGGTTTGTTGGTCATCTTCATGAGCAACCGTGTATGTTTATTTTGGAAGTTTTTCCTTGCCTGTGTCGTCTAGTGCTTGCTCATGGTGGGAATTGTTGGGTTTCTGTAATGAACTTCAGAGTAGGGTCTGACCTGCTCAGTTTGGAAAGCACTGTGAGACAACTGTTGTGATGTGGCGCTATATAAATAAAAAATAAATAAATGAAAAAATTACTCTGACTCCCACAGAATGAACTGTCCATCTACGAGCTGATTCACAACTTTGTGGAGGTTTTGGATAAATACTTCAGTAGGGTGGTAAGTTCACAGTTTTCAAACATCAAACTGTCTGTAAAATGTTTTTTTTTTTTTATGTTCTACTTGGTATTTTATCTTTCAAATACAAATATGTCCACATTCTTTTAATGTAAAATGTCCAGAATGAGTTATGGCCTATTTAAGCAGCAGGTGTTACAATAGAATTATCAGAATTTTATTTTAATTTCAAATTGTGTCGCAAAGGCAACAGGTTCTGGAGGGAAACCCAGACCTCCCTCTCACCAGCAATACTTCCTAGCTCCTCTAGGGAGATCTTGGAGGTGTTTCCAGGCCAGACGGGACATATAATCCCTGTATCTTTTCTTGGGTCTACCCCAGGGTAATCTCTCAGTAGGATGTGCCTGGCCACAGGGTCGAACAACCCCAACTGACTCCTTTTGATGCAGAGGAGCAGCTGCTTTGCCTCTAAGCTCCCTCCAGATGGCGGAGAGATCCTCGGCATATCTCTGAGGCTGGGCCCAACCACCATTCTGAGCTAAAACCCTCTGCAACCATTGCGATCTTGTCCTTTCAATCGCGATCCAGAATTTCGTAACAATATGTGAGGGTTGAAACAAAGTTGGAACAGTAAACCGAGAGCTTTGCTTTTTTGGCTCAGCTCTCTCGTCCCCCTTATTACTACTGACGCAGCAGAGATCCTTCAAGCCACAAGTTTTAGATGCCTCATCCACAAAGGAGGTCCTGAACATTGCCCATTAAGATTCCGGGTCCCCGACTTCCCTCAGAAAGCGGGAACAATTCTCTCCGATATACGAGTCAAAGATCTGACAGACAGGTGGCGTCCCGGTTCACACTCACTACTTGTTTGGGTTTGCTGGGCCTGTCAAGGCAGAGCAATAAATTATCTACTTGATTAGGAATAAACAGATAATGACCACTGAAACACAGGAAGCAGATTTTAAACTCCTCCCAAGTTTGACAGGTAGTTGTGAAAGGGTCTCGCTAATTGCAAGGCTAACGATTATGCAGAATTCTTGAAGCTTTGAAGTCAACCCCCCCGGTTGTCCACACATCTCTAATACCGCTGTATCAGGTGGACTTTGTCTGCAGGATGTTGAGCATGGGGATTATTTTGGTGGCATGACTCCCATTTCTTTCTTTCTCTTTGTGTCTCCACAGAGCGAGCTGGACGTATCCTTTAAGACGATATATGGGGGATGCTAACACTGCTAAACTGTTTTGGAGCAATACGTACGCTGAATAGCCACATTAACAAAAGACTCTGCTCATTTGGTAGGAGGGGGATAAAAAACTCTTTACAGTGAAGGGATGGTAGGATACTGGTAGAAAGTCAACTCAGTACATCTGTGTGCTAGAAGTTATGCATATGGGCTATAAATAAAAACAGTTTGTGGATAATCAGCATTGGTTATGGCAGAATTTCACTATTTTATACCTCCAAGGCAGAAGCCTTAAATGCTCAGGCTTTTTTATTCCACAGAAAAAAATTACGTTGCCCATTCAGCACAAGTAACGAGCTGTTAAATATAGAAGGAATAACACTAGACTGAAGAAATTTTAAGATGAGCGAGCTTTCCATAGCACCAAAACGCAACACGCACTCATTTATCTGAGAGCCTCCTGGAAACAGGAAATCAGTCTACGGCGTGTTTTCGATTTTCTCACCATAGGAGGGCTAGATAGGCAGTGGGTGCAAGATGCATAGATTTATCTTGTATGGATGTGTCTATCAGCCATACAAAAGTGATTGACAACTTTTTCAACAGATTTTATTAAAGATATTCCTGGTGTTTCTGGATGTTATCATGGCAGAAAGATTAAGCTGATTTTATTACATTTGAGAACAATTGATCCTTTGGGCCTTTCCTCTTTTTTTCAGGGTGAAACACCTTTTAATTTTCGCTACTGCATGTTACTGTTTGAGCTGTTTTCTTGACCCTGTGGCTTCATCAGATTATGTTTAACCTGGACTGTGTTCATATCATCCTGGATGAGATGATCCAGAATGGTCACATTGTAGAAACAAACAAGAGCCGCATTCTCGCTCCCCTCGCCGCCATCGACAAGATGGCGGATGGATGACGCCTGGTGCTCACACGCAGCCAGAAAGGAGTGCAAAATCCCTGTAAAGTAAGCCTACGGGCACACATGTGAATGCATTTATATTAAAAAGCTACTTTTCACCGTGTGTGAATTGTGACTTATGAGCACACCAAACTTCGTGTTTGAGAAGAACCTCTTTAAATCAAATGGAAACATTGAATTCATACTTGAATCCAGTCATTTTCTTCTTTTCGACATTTGTAAGGGAGATTTTTTGGATTTATTTCCTTTCTCCATGGGATCCAGTTAGAAGGATCAGATTTCTGAACGCCTGTCCCTGTTTGTGAACACGAATGATGCCCAGAATAAAGCTAATCTGTTTCATCGTACGTTTTGAAGGACAGACTGTAAGAATAACGAAAGAATAAAACCCTCCTTTATTTTAAATCCACGACTGGAGTGTCGTCTGTTCGGTAATCTGAAGGGTTTTGGTTTACACAGTTCGATATCACTGAAAGATTTTTTTTGTGCATTTATTTAGAAAATGGTGCGTATATGTATATACGATTTGAAAAGAACTTGAAACATCAATGGTCTAAATATTAAAAGTTATTAAAATCCTAATATTTCAATCCTAAAAGAAATACTGACCTGTTCTGTAAAAACTAAATAAAAACTAAAAAAAAACTCTTCTGTAGATATTCAAAACTTCCCCAAATATAATAAAGATCCGTTTCTCTGTTTTAAACTGGATCAAAACAATTCAGCACATTGACACAAGCAAGCAGAAACTATGTCCGAACCACGATCAGAGTTCATCTCCCGTTTTTCTTTATTCTTTTCATCCAAACACCACAAGACTCCATCTGTACTATATACTTTGCAAACATTTTAATGATTATTCTTTTGGAGCATACACATTTGAAAATATCTGTTTACCACAAACTGCAACTTCAGTTAAATAATTGTTTATAATATACAAAGAAAAATACAGGGAGAGCAGAGCTTTCTTTTTTGTTTTTTCATCTCGTGTGGATGTGCCTCGCACATAACCAGTGTTTTTTTTTGTCTACAGCTTCATCAGAAACATCGAATGTGCTCTGAAACGTTGGCCTTTTTTTTCCATCCGGCCGGAAACAATCCAAAAAAACTTGCACACAGAAGCAAAAAAAAAAAAAAAAAAAAAAAAAAGTAATGGAACATAACTAAAAACGAAGCAAAAAAAACAAGCATGACCGAAGGAGGGGGAGGTGAAAACGGAGCAGGCGGTAAAACTGAAAGGACAGCAGGAGGAGGTCAGCCAGAGAGCGCGCGCACACACACACACACGCACACACACACCGGCCTGCAGCTGAAAACACACCCTTGGCAGCTCGGGGAGGTCGTGTGGAGGATGAGGAGGAGGAGGAGGAGGAGGAGGCTGCCCGTCGGGGACGAGGGGGGAGCGAGCGCATGTCTTTGATATTATTTTCTGCAGCATGTCCGTCTGTCGGTCACTCTGTCTGTCCGGTTCCATGTGCATGCTGGGCGTGGTCGAGGTCAGTTCAGATGGAAGCCCTTTTCCATGGTGGCGGCTAACAAGCGCTCCCTCATGATGTCTTCGGATGAATATTCGGGGAGCTTCAGGTAGTGGACGCAAGTGTTGACCGATGGGTAGCTGGAGTCTGTGGCGTCGACCTGAAAGGGGGATTAGTGTTTAATCAACAGTCTCCCTTTAACTCATTGACTGCCAAATACGTCTATAGACGTCTTTTATGTTTTTCAGCGAGAGTGGCTGGGGGACGATCTGCTAAAGCTTGTCCGTAAATATCAGGCTTTTAGACAGAGTATGTAGTAACAAATTGACCCTCTAGGGGGCAGTGCCACTTTTGATGGGAGATGAGCATAGACTGTAGGCAAATAAGAAAAAGGTAACTTTCGATATGAGATAACATGTCGCCGGTGAGACGCAAGTCGAGGCAGCTCACACTCAAACAGAGTTTGTGTCGCAATCGCAATAGTTCGGTTGGTGTCCCGATCATGGGAAATGAAGGAGATCAACCCGGGCCAAGCGGAGAGAGTAGGCCTAGCTCACGGCGTGTTTCACCACAGCTTAACTCCGCAGGTAGTTCCGGGTGAGATGAATTTAGCGAGATGTTGTTTTTGCCGTTTTATAGAAGGATACAACTTTTAAGATGTTTGAGGTGTCACTAAAGCCAAAAAAATAGCATCGAAGACACTTCTCTGCTTGAACTGTATCTTTTCACAAAAAGCTTGTTTTCTCCATTTATTGGTCAAAAACTGGTGTTTTTGTTGAAACCAACCTATGTTCTACTGCTGACTACTAAAGAACGGAATAAGGTAGAACATTTTTTTTTTCCTGATGAAAGAAGAGAGTCTACTCTTTCTTTTTGTGTGTTCCATGTTTACATAGTCATAGCACAAACTATTCTGTGGCTCTTGAAAAATCAGTCAAAATGCTCAAAAAACTCTGGCAGTATGGGACTCTCTGTTATGAAAATGGCTGGCAGTCAATGAGTTAAAAAAAATAAAAGGAGCGTTCTGCCATTTTCGGAGCCCGATTTTACCTTCCTGACGATGGTGAGGCGCGGGTGCAGGTTGGCGAGGCCCCCGGGGGGCAGCGTGGAGCAGCCGGTGGTGAACTGCAGGAAGGCTTTCCTCTCGTCGGAGGACATCCCGCACAAAACTCGGACGAACCGCAGAAAGCCGGGGCTGGGAGAGATCGTCGGCCATTAGTGTGTGTTCAGCTTTAAAGCGATGAGCTCAAATGTCTGTGAGAAAAGTACCTGTCTCTAGTGTAACCCAGCTTTGGTTCCGTGTAGTTTATGATGTCATCAGCAGTCCAGGAAGGTGATTGGTTGCCGCAGAGGATCATCTGCACCTCTTTATGGCTGAAGGAGCTCAGTTTCTCCATCGGGAACACGCGATTAAAACCCTCTGGGGAGCGGAGGGGTAAATGAGCAGAGATCTCTTGTTACAAAATAATGATTCAAACAGATGGTTAATCGTGTTTTCTTCACTGGAACCTCCTACACCTGCTCCATCCCAAGATCCCCGAACAATAATTGTCACTAACAGGCAGAAAATCCACTCTCACCGATGGGTTGAGGATCTACATTTCTGCATTTAGAAGACGCTTTTATCATTCAACTGTAACATAGATTACACCAGTACTATACATTGAGTGCTATATGCAATTAGGAAATAAGATAGCAGCTCCCACAACTTCCAGAAAACAGAAACATGTATGTGTGGTTGTGTGTGTCTACCTTTAAATGCCTCCATTTGCTTTTGGATGCCGGTATGCATGCAGAAGTCAAACATCAGCTCTACGTACTCCTCTGCGTTCTCCATGGTCACCATCTGCGCATCAAAAGCCAAAAGTGAGACGGGTCGAACTGTGATGCATGTCCAACTAAAAAACAGGACCTCAGATTTGTCAAACATGGCCAAAAGGGGACACGGCTCGCTGGGGAAATTAATGCTTGCACAGAAGTGTGAGAAGTCACATCTTTATGTGTCGCATCCTGTACTGATTTAATAAAAGATGTCAAATTTTGATGTCAAAGAACAATCCCGAGTATCAGTGGAAGGGAAGTTTTTTCCCCTTACAATAAAGTCACTAATTGTAGGTCACACTTTTATCCCTGAGCAGGGAAGGGAATGATTGTAGGATAGGTGGCAAAGCTTGTCCAAACCATTCATAAATGTGGCTTGCCCAAGACTCGAAAAGCCTAAAAGCATAAAGGGAAACCAACAAGCAGGCTCGGACTAATCGAAGGAGTTACCTCATCGTCTCCGTTTGATTTGAGATCCACAGCTGAAAATCCATGCACTTTGGAGGACGGACAAAACTGGAAATTTAACCTGTATGCAGAGAGAAAGATCTTATTGAAATTCTACAGGAAATCTGTATTTACATTATAATAATTATTATATTATATTTATATAATATAATAAATTATTATATTAATAATTATATATATAATATTATAATAAATTATTACGATAATAATTATATATATATAATATAAATAATATATAATAATAACAACAACAACAACAATAATGATAATAATTTATTTAAATTATTTACAGCACAGGGCAGTAATATTGGGGGAAAAAATGGATGACTCATTTATACTAAGAGAAATTTTTAGTCCAAAATAATTCCATCTAGAATAAACCTGCTTTCCTGGCATAACCTGACAGCGTCTCTAGTAGGGAACAATATCTCACTATTTACAGCTGCTCTGTAACAGTGAGGATTGTTGAATGTTTCGCTGACAGCTTGTGTGTGTGTGTGTATGTGTGTGTGTGTGTGCGCGTGTGTGCGCGCAAGTGTTACCCGAGGTCCTCGACGCTGAGCGGGGGACCAGAGCCCAGCGGGTTCCGCAGCATCAAGTCCTGCAGCCTGGTGTTCTTCTCGTCTTCAGACAAACTCTTGTTGGCCAAAATCTGTCTCCTCTTCACCGCCAGCTCCTTCACTTCCTTCAGGAAACTCGCTCTAGAAAAAACACAAGAGAGGAGGAAAGATGTTGGTGGTGATGGAAAGCCGGGCAGCCTTTAAGAGCCTTCCACTCAGAGCCAGCAAGCGGGAAGCTCTTTACACCATTTTTAAAAAGTCTGCATTGATTTTTGAAGCATTCATTTTCATCTCTTGCCATTTTAATTCAACCTTAAATTGACCAATGTGTCGGAATTTTAAAGCATTCATTTTCATCTTTTGCAATTTTAATTCAACCTTAAATTGACTAATGTGTCAGAATTTTGAAGCATTCTTGTTGTGAAACATCCACAAACTGACAGGTATTAGACAGAAATCAGAAAAAGGAGACGGGACGTGGTCCGAAAACACTGGACTGGACCCAAATGGGAGGCAGGCTGATCGGAATGGATCTGAGTGGGAGATGCTCTCACCTGTGCGGGTTGACGAGCTGGAAGTCGTCCCACGTGAGGATGCCGTGGTACCAGGCGGGCGGTTTGGGCTTGGGCGGGTCCATGATGAACTCGGATTTGGAGTCCTCGTCGAAGCTGCCCACGGAGTAGGTCTCCTGGCTCTCCTCGGTGGAGGCCTCCGACTGCAGGTCGGACAGCAGCAGGAACGGCTGCGACTGGGGCCGCTCGGGGGCGTGGCCCTGCGGCGAGCCGCGGGACTGGTACAGCAGCTTGCTCATGTTGGACTTGATGTCCCCCATGCAGAGGAGCTTGAAGAGGGGCTGGGATATTGGCAGGTCCACCAGCCGGCTGTCCTGGATGCACTTGGCCAAAAACACTCCGAGGAAGTGGAAGAGTTTGGTCACGGCGTCCAGCTCCTCGCTGTCCTGAGGGAACGGCGCCGGGAACAGTCCGCACGAGCGCTGGACGTAGAAACCGGGAGGCTTCAGACCACCGCCCAGGTCCACCTAATGGACAAAAAAACACAGGATGAAGCTCAGTATCCGACATAATTTGTCACGATCTGTGCTTTATACATGCCTGAAGGTAAACTTACAAGTCATAGGAGTTCAATTCAAAAGCAGGAAGGCTAAACATAAGTCCCTCAAATTTAAACTACTGTCACCGTTGTGGGTAATTTTTCATTACTGATGGTCACACCCCTCTAGATGCAAACTGCTGGACAACAGAGCGGCCAGAACAACATTGGCAAAGATCTTCCAAACAGTATCTCATTGATAAGAGCAGAAAGCAAATACTCATTTCTGCCACTATTTTTTACCTCATATGGCCGGAATTTTTCATTTTCATGCTCATTACCCTTGTTACTTCCAGCAGCTAACTTAAATAAGCAACTGAATGGGCAAGTGTTGTGCACCAAACACCAAGGCAAATTCCTTGTAAGTCTAAAAACCTACTTGGCAATAAACCTTATTCTGATTCTGATTCTGATGAAAAACTCAGTATGTCTTTAAATAAAAATTCTTTAAAAAGAGCAATCGCATCTTTTTGGATAACCAGCCGACGCATAAAGCAGACACTTCCCCACCAGCGGTGGATGTGTGATCTGACCTGTCGCGACTCGTCGTCGGGGAAGTCGTCGTCACACAACCAGATGCCCAGAGACGTTCTCTGAAACTCTGCAGCCACCAAAGCGTAAAACTCCAGAGTGGGACCGAGACCCGTTCCCTCCTCGCCCTGGAACTCCACCTGAGCACACCAGACGTGGCATTAAATCCGAAACAAGAGCCAGAGTTGGCCGTGGGCAGGCCATAGAGTGGAGCTCACATTAAACAAAAGACAAATGTTGATTTAGACGACTCCTCACCTCCAGCACCGACTTCCTGTCGGCGTGGATCTGCATCACCGACTCGGCCCATTCCATCATGGAGTCTCCCCGGGGGACTTTGACCCGCTCGTGTTTGAGCCGACCCACCCGGAATTCCCCGGGATCGTCCCGCCTGGCCGTGGTGGAGGGCCGGGAGCGCTCCACCGTCGCCTCCCGCCTGTTCTGGAGCCACACGATTGCCCTGCCGACCCATCAGGATTAGAATTTAAAACGCCGCAAAACGGACAACACTCAGAGGGGTCAGCTTCAGGGAATCGGTTACCACTGCTGGTCAATGATCGGGGTGGAAAACTGATCTGGGATTAAGTTTTTTTTTTGCAGAGGATCACAGACTGGAGCTTTAAATACCGGATCAGTCAAGTGGAATGACAGGAAATGCTATAATCCCATTAGTAAAGGTCAAAAATATGAGAAATATGTTGTTAGCTCTGTAAAAGACTGTCTTAATGTATTCATATGATTTTGTATATATATATTCAAGTTTCATGGATCAAATTACTGCTGATGAGGTCGTCAGTGTACTGGTACTTTTCACTTTATACTTTCCTATAATCGTGTTTTTTTTTTTTTTTTTATATTCCTAGTTAAGGCCCTTTCCCAGTTTGTGAACTCACCTGGAGGCCCCGAAGGCAGTGCAGGTGAAATACAGCTGTCTGGTCTCGAAGGGGATGAGGAAAGGGCACTTGGAGGTGAGCTGTTCGCACCAGTCGGGCAGCGCTCCGCTGGCCAGAGCCAGAGGCTCCTGGGTGAGGAAAAGATACTTGAAGAAACTGTTCGTGTGGTGTGGGGGACTAAATGAGGCTCGAGTGACCATTAGTTGTTTTTACAGCATTATACCATCTCAGTGCTGCACAGTGCTTTTCGCTAACATGGTAATCCTAAAAGCCTAAGTAAAGGCAACTGGACTACTTTGAATCTTGACATCATTCTTTCAAAGGCTTCTTATGTTCTAAACTATAAAGTGGGGAGAATCCTCTAATAAACAAGAGTGGAGGTGAACCTGACATACTGGTTTTCCTATGCTGTGCCATAAAATTGTGGAGGGTTTGTTTAGCCTCTCCTTGATATACAGTAGGTCCTCAAACTCTTTGTTGGTCTGTATAGTGAATACAACACCATTTAGTTTGAGTGCCTGTGTCTTTTCCTGAGGCTGGAGAAATTGGTCTGAGGGTGTTCTTAGGTTTGAAATGCTGCAAACCTCTGTCTTAAGGTTTCCATCCTTTTTATTTTATACTGTACAGTCCACAATGGATAGCTTGAGGTTCTCTGCTTATTGCCTTTTGAAATTGATATTGCTGTCCAATGCAAAACACATGAAGTCAAAGGCCTCCAATTCTTAACCCAGGTACTGTCCACATATCTGTAACAGTGGTACGATGTACTTCCTTTGTATGAACTTAGCTCCCAAACATGTAGTTTAGTACTGATAAAGCCTCAAAATCTAAGAAGTCAAGCTTTTAGGATTCATTAACCCATCTTTACAATCACAATGGTCACTGAATAACAGGAGAGGAATAGAACACTTTACCTTTTCTGCCTTTTGAAATTATTTATGTAGAAAACACAACTACAATCTGTATTCAGGCAGATGGTCATAAGTATTTAAAAACAAACAAAACGTGCCAACAAAGACTAAATGAAGCCTTTCTTTTTTTCATAAAAAAGGCGGTATAATTTAGACTGATTAAATGTTTAGCAAAACTGGAGAATTGGGATTTCACCTAATTTCTGCTGAGATCAAAACTAATTTATTGCAGTCCTGTAATTTAGGGCAATCAATGGAACACCACAGCTTGTGTCAGAATAAACAGAGCAAAGCCTGGATTAAACCAACAGGAACAGGAAACAGAAACCCACCTCGATCTGCTGTAGAATCTTGGTGGTGATCTTTTTGCTGGTAAACTCCTCCGGTGGTGCATTGAACTGCAGCTCTTCAAGATCTGGAAGCCAAATAAAGTGACTTTAGACGACGGAAAACCTACACATCCCTCTCCAGTTCCTGCTGGTACACGTGGGGTGGGATATAGAATTCCATTGGTTGTTGGTTGTGAATAACACAATCACTGAATGCAGCATGATAACAGCACTAACTCTACAAAACTCTTTTTTTTTCCCCTTTTCTTTTTTTTCCTTTCCTTTTTTTCCCTTTCCCCCCCCCCTTTTTTTCCTTTCACTGCTGTGTTTTAAATTGTCAAAGACTTCACATAAAAATCTGATATGGGAAAAAGAAAAAAACGGAATGACAGGGAACCCCTGTCAAATTGTGGAATAAATACCCTTAACACATTGGTTTAACTGGTGGCTCCAGGCCTGAAATCAAGTGCCATATTATTTAAAGAAGAGCAGCACCAGAGATGACACAATATGGAAATTAACTGCGGAAGCTTCGCAAATGCAAGAGGAAAGATCGACGATATGTCAAACTGACATATCACCATTGAGAGCAAAAGTTAAGTCAGATGGAACACACTGATACAGAATAGCTCAACATAGCTGTGGGTGCTTTAGCTCTGTGTGAAAGTCAAGCTTGCTTTGGAGAGACGTGGATGAAATTATACGGAGTGCAAAAAACTATTTCAAAAGTAACTAAACCCCCAAGTGGTTTGAACCGAAGAGTCGGTGTGGTTTCCGTACCCTCCTGCAGCGTGCGGGCACTGGAGGAGGAGTCTCTCCCGATGATGTACAGGATGCGCAGCAGCTGCAGGACGTCCTCCACCCCGCAGGCATTCTGGCTGCAGCCGGCCTTCGCCTGCGCCGCCTCTCTCGCCCAGCCCAGGATCTCGCTGCTCTGATTGGCCGACACTGAAGTTGGGCTCAGACCACCCGAGCGGCCTCCGACGTTGTTGCCGTGTTCAAGGAACTCCTGCGGGTAGAAACGGATCAGACTCGTTTGTCAGTGATCAGGAGATTTCATTTAGGTCACACACCAATTAAGAAACCCACAAAATTCCATTTTTGTCCTTATGGCTATGAAACGAAAACACATTTTTCTGCAAATGGGGATTGATCGTGAATTGTGAAGTTAACACAACAACATCTCCATGAGCTAGCAGAAGCAAACAGGGAAAGCTTTCCCAGTGTTGGGTGCCAATTCCTCTTATTTGTCCTCATAGTTTTGAATGACTTTTCACATAATCACTTGAAAGAACATGTCATCCATTACTGTACAGAATTTAACCCCCAGTCATCTTCCCCAAAATGTAAAGACAGCTAAGTGTGGTGTGTCAGACTTACCATCTTGTCACTCTCCTTCTCTTTATCAGAGTCTTTGAGCTCTCTGTACATGATTCTGCAGGAAAATAAAGCCTCAGTGAAACAGTGAAAGCATCTGAAAAGCTTGTCTGGGGCCTTTTTCGGTCGGAAGCAGACACCTACGTGTACGTGGGTTCCCAGATGCGTCGCAGTTTGTCCGTCTTCACAGATCCGCTGCAGGACAGCTGGAGAAGTCGCTGGACGTAGTAGAAGATGGTCAGCTTGTAGTTGGACAGTGGGAGCTCAACTTCGCGGGTGGTCCCGAGCCCGGCAACCTAACGCGTACAAACCCAAACCAAATCAGCATTCAGGTTTTTCTGTTGTATAGACACAGTATTAACTTACTAAGGTTGTGTTAAAACTGCTCAGGCCAGCACGATTAACTTAATGTATATACCCTAAATGATTAGTGTAAATGTAAATGATTAGTAGTAAACATTACTAGTAAGTCCAGCTTTAAAGTGTATGTTTTCAGTCTTCTTAACCGCACTTAATCCAAACAGGAAAAGCCACATAGTAGGTCAACCGCAGTACGATTATACCGCCACCGGTTTGTTCTGGCTTTAAATGTTAGACACAGCTGACTGGGAACAACCAATATCTTTTGCTCCATTGAGCTGGATGAAGGGATTTTATAATCCTTTCTATTACTACTCAATCTTTGCAAAGGCCAATGGGATTTGGAGGACCGATTGTGCTCTGAACGGTACCTTTAGAGTGAGAACGAGGTGAGGAGACGGGGCGCATTCCACTTCTTCACGAACCTCCGATCGAGGTGTTCCTGAACCAAAAGAGAGCATTTAACTTTTAAGAGACATTCTTTTCTTAAAACTAAGTCAGTGTGGACACAAAATATGTCATCATGACTTAAAATAGTGTTTCTTTCTAACTTTATTTTGTATTAACATGATAAATGTTAAAAATTCCATTTAGTTAAATTGCATTTATGTTCTGGTTTTGAGCTTAAGCAGCTAATGTTGGCTTGTGTTGTAAAGCCAACATCAGCTCAAAGAACCTTAACCTGATCCCTCATCCACAGTAAGTTACATAAATATTCATAAATGTGTTAGTTCTGTTTCCATCTTCAGCTTCACAGTGTATGAATCCAAATGGCAGACCTGGATTGTTTATAGAAACAGAAGTTTTGTAGGTACACCTTTATAGAATGTTACAAATAAGATATTGGCTGTGGTGCTGCTTTTAATAGATCTGTGCAATGCTGAATTCTGATATTAATCTGATGGCATTCCTCTGAGAAAGTCAAAGCCAAGATGGTAGCATCAATAAGGTCCCACTTGAACTGCTGGTAAAAATGAAAACTTTTGGGACCAGCTATTATCCTGAGTGACCAAGACTAAGCTCCACAAAATGTCAACACATTATGAGGTAAATATACTGAATACTTTTACACAGTTTTACAAAAATGGCAACAATCTGAATGTTGCTGGTCAATCAAAAGATTAAAGAACACAGAGATGCTTTGAGCATACATTTCTTAGAATTATTCGAACCAATTCAAGTTGATTTTATAGAAAGACAATAAGTTTGATTAACTTGCGTTTGATTTGTCCTGCACATAGTGAATGATGTTTTAAGGGTCAGGGTTGTCAATTAAGCCTATATGTGTGTGTACTAAAAATGGCTTGCCTGGTTGGGGGATCTCCAAGTCAGTTGTTTGCTGGACATTAGTTCTTCCAGGTCGGGGGTCAAAAGCAGGAACCAAAGCAGAGAACTGTCTCTTTAGGACAAAATCATCATCCCATGTCCTCCTGCGTCCTCCCTTGGTTTCATACTCCTCTTCCTCCTACAAGCGGAAATCCACACTCTTCACATAGTCTGACAACACCTCTAGGACGCAATGCTTATGTTTGAGCAGGTCATGGCTGGAACATGGTAAAATTGTAAGAAAAGAAAAAGACTAAAAAATATAATTTGAAAAAATATGAAAAAACAGACCAGACTGAAACAAATGCGAGATGAAAAATGTCTCAATCAAATATCATTTCTGACCAAAATCCTCCTACATGGTCACTTCACATACCAGGACCTCCTCGTACTCCTGATCCTCCTGATTGTCATCTTCATTTTCGTCATCGTCGTCATCGGGCTCTGGGAGGTCCTCCTCGTCGTCCAGCTCTGCCAACAGAGTGTTGGCGCGACAGCTGTCCAGGAAGTCTGCAGGGGGGGGGTTTCAGGAAAAAAAACAAGAGAAACTATGTGGAAAAAGAGAGCGACTGTTGGGTGGTGTCCACAATCTGATTGTTAGACTGTGTGGAAAAACCACAGAGCGCCTGGTAAAACAAATAAATAAAAAAACAAATATAAATGAAAGCTATATTCATAGTATGGGCTACATTGTTTGAGTCTAGCTTACATTTAGTAGTTGACTAAAACAAGTGTGTTTTGGCAGGTGAATGAGATATGAATTTTAAAGTGGAAAGTACAACAGCACCTTTATGGACGAAACATTTCTTTAGATACACAGGAAAACAAGAGGGACACGTAGAGCAAAGCTATAAATGGCTGCAATTTTCCATTTTTGTGAATACTGCTAACAGTGCAGTAGGGTTGTCACGATACTAAAATTTTCAACTCGATACCGATACTCAGAAAAATACTCGATACTCGATACCATTTTCGATCCACCCGTTACTCCACCCGCCCCGATTCCCTGATGGTAAAACAAAGACCCCAAAATTTAACTGAATTATGACAAGTTAGTGTCTTTCATTTCAAACTGACCTGTTACTGACGTTATCGTGACTGGTGGCCCGTATTAATGACCCTACCCCTGACCCTCCAGCCTTCATAATTGTGAGAAATAAATATTTTTTTGGTGAAACTTGTTTGGACTTATTGTACAAAACTATTTAACATCCAATATTTTAACATCATATTATGGATAGAGTTTAATTCAGTGTTTGGAAGATTAATTTAACTATTTTTAAATTATTGTCTATATTGCCATGAAGCAATTAGGATTTTCTTGCCTGGGATATTCCTTTTGGTGACGTAATCAAAATGGCCGATTGGATGTGGGCGGAGTTTTATATGTACTTGATTACTGTTGGCGTGTTGTAATTAGCCATTAGCCGCAGATAGCAGTTCAAGGCTAACGTCTTGTTAATGATCATAAACAACGTAAATAAATACATGAATAAATCAGAGAGAAGGGGGGCAGCGAAAGCAGGTCAGCGTCGCGCGCGCGCTCGCGCGGGCTCGCGCGGGCGCGCGCGGTGGTATCGATACTTTTGAAAATGAGTATCGTATCCGGATACAACATTTTAGTATCGATACTTTTTAAAGTATCGATACTTTTGACAACCCTACAGTGCAGTAATAAGTTCTGAGGGTTTATGATGGCAGGGCTCAGTGTGGAATTAAAACAAAGAAGAGGCACCAAATCACGATATGAGCAAGCTCTTTCGAGTGACTTAACCTCATATTTGATATTTATTGACCATGTACGGATGTCTTTTCCTCACAGTGAAACCAAGTGAACTTTCATCTATAGCCACTCTTGGATTCCCAAGTCAGAGCCCTAATAGGGGATTAGTGTGTGAACCTTTCTGTTATGATGCCATCGGTGCTGTGCCAACACGGAGCCGAAATGTCAGGTATCGTTACATGCTGGACCGAATACCAATTAGACACTTAGGCAGATGTTAGCAGCCAGGGGTTTTAAGGGCTTCCGGCAGCCAGTTAGCTAAATCAGGCTTAAAAGTGAGCGTGTGTGTGGGATGTGCGTGGGTACCAACCATAGAGAGAGAACTCAGCCTCCTGTCCTGTGTCGCTCTCACTAGATGTGGATGTCAGGCTTGTCGTCAGAGTGTTGCTAAGCAACTGGCCCACTGATAGACCCGTGGTAGCTGTGGCTACATTATTGCCGCTGGTTACAATAGAAGTCGACATGGTAACGGTGGAAGTGGTGCCAGTAGTAGTGAGATTAGGAAAGCTTTGAGCACCCATAAGAGGAGAAGCTGCAAACAAAACAAAGAGCAGTTAGTTGGTCGGAGACCACAGAGACAGCAGTACGTGAAGTTTGTTATGATTCAGTCAGGTGACGCTAAACACCAGGTGATGCCCGGAGGGTAATCATGCCGTTTCACTGATTAGACAACATTAAAAACCAACTGCAAGGCACTGTACAGGTCCCTCTCGTGTAATCTGAATAACCCAAACATGCCGAATATCGCGAGTTCTGACAGATTTATGTATTAGTTTGGACTTGTTGGACTCAAGCAACTTACAGGGCTAGAGACAGCTTTTCATGATATAGAAAATAATTATTGATACTAATATTAGAAAATCTGGATAAATGATTTTCTGTGTAACAACTGTGTGTTGAAAACTGGGAATGCAGAACTATAAAGCCAGGTTGTGCAGCTGTCTAAACATGTTTTAGTTTTAAAATAGAAATGCTATAAAAATGAAATTCCTCCACCAATGTGGGTCTGCAAACTGAAGAGCAGTATCACACTAGTGATGCTTGACATTCTGAATCTATGGCCCCTTCAGAATGAGGCAGAAGGTGTTATGCGACTCTGAATTTGGACACGGACAAAATAATCAGCATTAGTTTCGCCACGTCGCGGCTTTGCGATACTCACTGGCAGTGCTCATGACGTTCCTCCCCAGCGTGTTCGTGTTGTTGTCGCTGCTGCTGCGGCTCAGGTTCATGTTGTTGGTGGCGTTGGTGCGCGACATGTTGGGAGCCCGGCGGACAAACGACTCCATTAGGCTGGCCTCTCTGGACGAAAGGTTGGGCACGCTCGCGCTGGAGCTCATAGGGGCCCCGGCGGCTAGCAGGGAGCTGACCGACAGCCGCGTGTTAGCGGCTGAACACAGGGGCCTCTGGGAGTACGTATCCTTGCTGGACGACTCCGACACTGAGCTGACGTCGGGGGAGCTGACGCTCACCAGCCCCATAGAGATGGCTGCCGCCGGGTCATTGGCGGTGGATGCCGCCGGTGAGTGATGTTCGTCTCCTGTTGCGGACGTGTCGGCGGTAAGCGTGCCAGAGCTGGACGCGGAACCGGATCCGCCCTCTGCGGCAGAGGACAGCACCACGATGGGCTCATGTTGATGTCCATCGGAACCGACCACTCCACCCGTTACTCCACCCGCCCCGATTCCCTGATCGAGGAGCAGTCCCTCAGCTTTTCTCTCCAGGTGCAAACCGCCTGTGCCGGGCAGCCCGGCGGCGGAGCTGAGGCTAATGTCCGAAGAGGAAGCCACGCTGCAGACGGAGCTACTACTGCCCTTCCTGCTGGAGGAGCTGGCCCCGCCTTTATCGGGGCAGTTATTTTTCACCAGGCTGCTCCAGGAGGGCTGCTGCGAGGAGGATGAGGTGGAGGATGATGAGGATGAAGTGGTGGTGGTGGCTCCGCCAATGGCGACCGGAGTCACCGAGGGTCCCACCGTGGAGGAGGCGGGACCTGAAACAGTGGATGAGACAGGTTTGGGTGATGGCGCTGTGGCAGCCGACTCAGGGTCGTACCCTGGGGCAAGCTTGAGGTCAAACTTCCCTTCAGCGCCCATACGGTAAGAGTTAGAGCCGCCAGCATCCCAGGTTACATCAATCCAGCCTGGATGGACAAAGAGATAGGAGGGAGATGGACGGATGGATGTCAGAGACCCGGCAGAGAGGGAAAACAGAGAGAGAAAGAGTGGCAGGAGGCAGACAAGCAGCTTACAGTCAGAGCAGCTCCACAGTGAAGTAGACCATTCATGTCAATTTCTCCTTTAAAGTCATAATGAAAAGCGCAATAAGCAAACACCTAACATGAAGTTCGACATTTAATAAATCGATAGCACGACAAAAAAATTATTCTGAATACTTTCTTGAGTAACAATGTCCCCGTTCAGACATGGAACACATAACATGGTCTTCCTCCATTCATATGGACATTGCTTAAGAGAGATGGCCCATTAGACATTTTATTCACATATACCAAAGACAGTATTTACCATTCAGCACATAAAATTACGTTTTTTACTGACTGATGATTGTGATTAAATCATCACCATGGTTATTGATATTAGCGTCAAATATTAGCCATGGTTTTGTGGAAGCTGCTGAAAAAATTAATCCGATCGTGCACGTTATATTTGTAAAAACTGAATGGGACTAAAACAACACTTTTGGGTGCTGCAAGAGTCTCAGCAGTACGTGTCAGAAATGAGCTATTCTGAAACTTAACTGCTCTTTAGTTCCAAAATGGTAACATTTGATGCTATATCCATAGTATCACGTCTGTTGAAATTGAAAACTTTGGCCAGATGAAAAACATCAGCTCGTTGTGAAAATAAAAGTAGGTGTGATCTATTTATTTCCGCAGAGCCACAGTAAATCAAAAGGTCGACCAACCCCCCATTGCATGAATAAATTATGTAAAACTTTGTTTTACTTAAAAAAAAAAAAGAAAGCTGTTTCACTGTGACTTTCTACAAAAAGGGGTGAAAGAGACAGAAAGACAGAGGGACAAAGAAAGGATGAGGATAAAGAGGACAAAGAAAGGGGAAAAAAAGAGTGCGGTGGAGGTGTTCTTGGATAAGTGAAACAAACATTGAGAAAAAAGCAAACTTTGGGAAAATCAAAAAGTTCGACTGAGGTGGGGGGGAAAAAGTCCCCAAAAGTATCTGTATAACTTCTACAAATGCAAAGGTAGAGTGTATGATTCCTTGCTTGTTAGATTGAGGATTAAGACCTGACTGACTGGATCACTGATGACAGATGGAGATAAACCCACCGGACTATTGAATTTATGTAATAACGAGGAAAAAATTCCAGAGAATCACAATGTAGAGAACTGAGATTTCGGCATAAAGTTTGTATGATAGGTTTCCCTAGCAGCAGGATTTCAAAAATATGTTTTTGCCCATACGGCTAAAGCAGCAAATATTCAAAGGATAATTAGTCACAGGGAGGGCTACATTTGCTTTTTCTGCAAAACAGATTTTGTTTTCTAAATGCCTACATTACATAAGCATAAAACGAGTACCCAAAAATAGGATAAGTAACTGGAAACAAGGTCAAACTGATAGGATATCAACAAACAGTTAGGGTGAACAGTCCAGATTAGGAAGCACAAAAAAAGAAAAATCTGATTTCTTTTCAAAGATAGTATAGTTAAATATATGTAAATATATGCATATGCAAAAAACCTGCTAAAGTTTTGAGGACAGACACAATAGGCTCGCTAATTTATCGTGAAATTTTCGTGAAGTTTTCTAAGATGCTTTGTCTGGCAGCCACATGACGCCTGCGGCAGGCTTTTGCATCTTTCCGGTGCCAGGTTAGTCATACCGTTGTGGGCCTCCCCGGTGACGGTGCCCTCTCCTGCTGGGTTTCCGTCCTGGTCCCGCCACTTCCAGTCAATCCCGCGTACGACCCGCGCCCCCGGGACAATGTACTTCATCACCTGTGAGCGGAAGAGGCGGCGTTGGCGGCGCAGGTTTGCCTCTGCCTCTTTCACAGCTTTTCCTGAAAGATTGATAGAAGTTGAGAATGGTCAACGATAGAGACGGGAAAAATAAAGGATATTCTTTAAGTGACTGCAAGCTGAAGCTGATGTTGAATAAGGGCTCACCAAGCTGGTCCTCACAAACGGCAGTGATGGTGCCGTATAGCTCGAATCCAGACAGAGACAGGTAGTGCGTCTGGCCACTGGCATTTTTCCCCATCTGCTTTATTCTGATGTGCCTCCAGCCTTGCTTCTCCTCTTTGGATGGGTCCAGTGGCCATGTGGCTGTCGACCTTTGGAGACACACTTGCATTATTAGTTGTCATATCTTAAAGAAAAAAAATACTGAAGAATAATTTTTCAACTTTCCATTTAGCCTACACAGAGATTATTATCACTATATTATACGTCAACCTAAGGCTTAAACTGACAATAACTGTGAGGGACTTCAGTCATTTTTAATCTCTATCTATTTTCCTTCTGAAATACTATCAATACAATGAAACAACAGATGTGTGGAAATTGTTCACTATCAATTTGCAATTCAAACCAACTAAAACCTGTTCTCAAAGATGTTTCTAATTATTTTGGAAATTATTTATAGTGCCTCCTGGGTCTATTTCTATCACCTTGATGTATTTCCTCATTTTTTGCTTGAATGAAAGCTAAAATGAGTGTTTCAAACAGCATGGACTGGCATGGTTATTACTCCATTCAGTAACTTCCTTTACAATGTATTTTACCCTATATATTTACCAGTATAGAGCTAATGAAAACAATTAAAAAAGTACGTTGTTAAGACTGGAAGTGTAACATTCAAGGTAATGGGTATACCCTGGTTCGTTTAGGCTGCCATCATCTATGTGGGTGTAAAGAGTGGACCAGTTCTGACCATCCTTGGACACCTGAAATACCCAGTTTCTCAGTGCGGAGCGGCCGTAGCCCCTGTACAGGAAGAAAGCAATGTTACAGATGAAGAAAATAAAACAATGAAAACACACACATATATTTGTGTCCATCCATCCATCCGGCTCTCCTGCGTAGTGTGTATGACAAGTTACCTTGCATGCCTCAGAGTGTACGCTGAGGGGATGACCCATAGGCCCAGGTCAACAGCGAACCACGCGTTCTTGTCGTCGTTGGTGTGGCAGTTGAGGGCAGAACTATCCCGGCTCAGGATGTCCTCCAAGCGGCCGTAAGGGAGGTTCCGCCCCTCTGAAGACGTCACCACCACTAGCCCGTACGCTGCGGGGTTAACCCACTCGTAGGCCGTTCTGATGTGAACAGAAATGTGTGTCAATCACAAAATAACCGCATTAAGAATGATGACTAAGACATCAAACAATCCCAGATATCCCAAGATGTAAATATTCCTGCCCATGGGGATTTTTCACAGACAGATAAGCAAGAACAGTTTTTCCCAGGAGTATTTCAAACTGACCAGTGTGACTGGACTTACTTTGCATTGGTTCCAACCCAGTAGATGATGCCATTCTCATCAAAATCATGCTGGTGTCTGAAGGTGAAGGTCTGCCCTTCTCTGAGTTTCCTTACAAATACGAAGGATGAGCGCTCAAAGTCATACCATTGCTTCGCAACCTGAAAGATAGGGCAGAAAAGAAAAGACGGGACGGAGTTGAAAACGAAGGGCTTTTCTGTAACATGTCTGCGTGTTTCGAAGAAACTTTTCATTGCGGCCTCACCATTTTAAGCAAATACTGCTCCAGGGACTCCACAGTTGCGAGTGGTTCCATCTTCAACATGCGACCTGTCCGGTCAATAAGAGCCGTCTCGCCGGGCGCTCGCTCCAGACGAAACCGCAACCTCCTTGTCAAGATCTGAAAAACCCAAACATAGTTCATGAGCTTTGACACGTTCAAATGAAAATGACGGACAGCCTCCCATAGATCACACCACGATCCCAAAACACAACCACTTACTTGCAGGTTGTAAGAGGATCCTGGGGTGTCATACAAGTGAAGAGGTAGACGCTCTATTGACTCCAAGACGGCTATCAGTTTTCGGATTAAGGCAACAGCTGGTTGGCTGCACATACACATGGACACACACAAACTCTTGAACCATAATCTTATTGTTTAAAGAATATTATCATTTACAAAAAAAGACTTGTTTTGGAAATCAATTACCGTATTGTAAACACATCTCATTTTCCTTTATTAAACTATTTTTCCTTTACTGTAAAATAAGTTTAAACACCAATAGCTCTACTGGCAATGGCTTAAATTTTTGAAAAGCAAGTCCTTTTAAAAAAAGGAATGTTACATACAAAAAAGCGAGATTATGAGATCAAGATTTAATCCTTGTGTTTCCCTTTTGTCATTCATGTTTGGGGGTATGAATGACCCCAGAATGAGGTTATCTGCTCTACTAAATTTGTGCTTTTATCTTTTTTAAGATGTGACTTTTATTTTATTTCCCCGTGTCCAGAGCAGTTCCTTGACACAACTAGCCCAAGTTGGAGTGAGTGTCTAAGGCCTTTTATTGCACCCCTTAGCTCACTGTCTGCTCCCCTCTCCTGTCCACACACTGATGACAGCCACAGATTCCAAAATTAAGCCCAGGATTAAGATTTATGTGATAGGGATGAGTCACAAAGTGATTCATCTTCCAATTACAACCTGTTGGGTAGATATTGGACCTCCCAACAAAAGCACTGAGGCCTGTAACACTGTAGATGACACCATGCTGCCTGTGTGCGTGTGTGTGAAAGTGATTTTTAATGTAAAAGTTTCACTTTGAGTGATCAACTACAATAGAAATTTGTTATACAAGTACAATCCATTGACTACTTTTATTGATCAGCTTACTCCTTTTCAAAGCCATCAAAAAATGTTAAATAAGACCAATAACTGAATTCATAGCGTGACAATGCACTTTAACCTTCAGATGTGCTAAAGCAGATCAATTCTCTATCATTTGAATAAAATCCACCAACCATGGGCCTTACCTTTCATTATCTTCATTCTCACTGAAAGCTGTCTTAAAGACATTGATCCTCTCCATTAAAGGTTTACAATCTTGCTTCATATCAATGTCCACACTCTGTATTGACAAAAAACAGCAGGAAAATCCATTTTAGTCAATGTCAAAGATTATAATATAAACATAGAGATGAACACCTCACTCACTTAAGTTTAAACATAAACTAAAGTGCGAATTAAAGAACTCAAATCCTCGACTTATCCTCTGAAGGGGATTTCATCCTGCCTTACATTTCTTTCTGTTCCCTATGTTTTTCTTAAAAGACTACTAAAAAACATCCTCCTTCTATTGTCTTTATACAAACTCCACACAAAAGGCCAGGAATTCAAACTGAAAACCCTTTTACCATAAGGCCTTGACACCTTAAAGCAAATAAGGCCTTAAATCACTTCCCGAGTAAATAAGTAATTACACTTTGAGGATATTTCAGATTACTACTAACATTATTTGAAGAGCAACAAATCTGTAAAGTTACATCTAGCATTCTTCTCCATTGGACGGTAATTAATTTCATTTTTGAGAGAAAAAAAAAGTCTGATTTCACATATTCTTACATTGCTCAGAACAGTAAACAGAGCCTGGACTAGGCCACTGCTACACATTTCGTACGGAGATATCGTGTTTTCATCCTTCAAAACGACAATCAGGTTCTCCAAGGCTGTTTTCATCAGGTCCCTCCAGGTGTTCTCGCCCTCAAAACACTGCAAACATCACACACACACACACAGGTACTTTTTAATCAACTGTTCAGTCCAGTATGTTTGAATGTACTGTGATGGATGTTTTCTATACTTGTCTGTTGATGTGCAGCTCCCAGGCAGACTCCAGCTGTGTTGAGATGTTCCTCAGGGTGACCACCACTCCTCTGGGCATGCTCTCCACGGCCTTGAAGTGGTCGTCGTACAGCTCCCTCGCCATGCTCTTCACCTTCTGCTTCGTTTTCTCCAGTTTTGACTTCAGCTTCCTCCCTCGTTTTCCAGTCCAGCCGGTCACAAACTCAGAGCCTGTCGGGGCAGAGGAAAGTCACTTTTAATTACTTTATAGAAATACTGAATGAACAAGGTAGCCAGAGGATTGGTGAACTAGTGAGTATGACTTTAAATATGTTACAATATCTGTTTAGCAGCCATCTGGTAATTACCTCAAACTACACATTCCCTGCTGATTTCTATACATTCTTTATTCAAGAACCATAACTCAGACTCACCCAGTGACGTCTCTGCAGTAAATGAGTGTTTGGTTCCTCGATTGGACTCGAAAACAAAGCCTGGTAGGTCCTCCTTTAGGATGGTGGCCTGCTGCCCATCCGAATTATGGATGGCAATCTCTCCATCCTTCAGGCAGGTCAGAGACCAGTTCCCGACTGTGAGCTTGGTGGGGCCGACAATGGAGAGGATGGGTTGACTGGTGGTCACCGGTTTCACCTGGCTTCTCGCCCGCTGCAGCTTTTCCAGGAACTCGCTGCGGGACTCTACAGAAAGAGTGAGAAAGGTAATCAACCGGAGGAGCGAATATATCAGGCGAGTAGATGCCGTGTGGGCACATACCTGAACTGTCTGACCCGCCCTCTGGACTTCCACTTGAGTACATAGTAGCAAGCTTTCCATCCAGGATGAATCTGAACCAGCCGTTTGAGCCGTTGGAGAGCTCGAGGGCAGCAGCGTCTGACCAGATGTAGAGACAGTCCCTGCCTCTGATGATGGACCAGTCCCTCCAGTGGTACGGCTTCCCCTGTTGGATTTCTTTAGCGTCTTCCTGTACCTCCTCATCCTGCACAAATCACAACATAAAACAATTTAATAGGAGAGCCTTGTATTTGTAAGGTTTCAAAACATTACAGAAAAACGTAATTACATTTTCCCCCACCTTTTCAGGTTTTGTTTCGTCCTCGTTCTCGTCATCAGATGCCGGTCCAGCCAAAGTGGACACCTTATTGATGACCCCCAGTCGGGCCAGCTGGTCGAGGAAAACGTCCCCACCTTTATCCACCAGATCTCTGATGATCTGCAGAGCCAGCAGGTGACCGTCGTCGTCGTCCTGACAGATTAGGAAACAAGAAAGACCAAATTTGAATTCCTGAACATATATGTAAAAACATGCATTCACACACACATGTAAATGACCGTTTACCTCCTGATCCAGGACCGTGGCGGTGATCTCCACCAGTACCGTAGGCAGGTTGTGACCCGTCTCACTGTCGCACACTTCTCTCAGCAGAACTTCGCTGCTGTAATGAACCATCTTCCTGATCAAAGCAAGACTGGCTTTCCTAAGAAATAAAAAAAAAAGACACCAAAAATAAAAAAGAAGTGGAAGCACTGGAAGTGTGTGTGGTACAGAGTGCCTTCTCAAACAGCAATTCTGATTCACCAAAATCTAAGCATGCCAGCAAAGAACTACAACAAGCCTCTTTGGTGATTCCAGAACTGGTTCTGAGTCAGTCCTTTCCAACCACCAAAACACTGGTTCCAAAACTGAAAAAGACCTAATATCCTGTGGTTTTTGGGAAGATAAGCTGTCTCTAATTAAATTACAATGACACCTCTGGATGTACCATTAAACAAAAAAAAATCTATAGTAAATTTGATCGGATATGGGGCTATTTTGTGAATTATTGCAAATCATTGAACATCTTACCATCTAACTAATGTGATTGGACAACCCCCCACCCCGCCCCGTTTATTTATTTATTTTATTTTGATTTTTTTTTCTGTGCGTTTGTGTGTGTGTGTGTGTGTATGAGTTATTTCTTTGACCACTACAAATGAGAGATATTGGGTACTGTATGTAAAAAAAAAAAAAACATGGAACAGATTCTATACTATTGGTAAATTACCATTATGTTTTTCTTCCACAATAAAAAAATTAAATAAATAAATAGATAAATGAAAAAATCTCTTCTGTTATGGGTCGGTTCTTGGCTTGAACAAGTTTAGAACTGGCTCCAGCTTGTTTGTTTGGCAAGTGTAAAAATGCAATGAATATTTTATCTGAAAATGGAGAAATTAAAAAAGGGGCAGCACTGTCCACATTTCTCCCTACAGTTTTGAAGCCAAATTTAAAGGAGTAGCAGTTTTTTGGAGACAAAGAAGAACAAATAACGACAGAATAAAGCAATTACCACACTTATGAGAGCTGTGATTTGTGGTCAGGTTACCTAATAGAAGGCAGCATGGTTTGCTGAAATGTTTGTGCAAAAACGGGGAGAAGTCTCTTCAGGTAGAAGGGAGCCATTTCTGGGTCTCCTCTCGGCTCGCTGCCTTCCTCATCCTCTTTGCTCACATCTTTCTTTCTTTTATCGTCACCCTTGTTCACTGGACACATCCAATCTCCTGAAACACAATTTGTATTCATTTTGTGGTTAATCAACAAGTTCTCTTTTGGATCATGTTAAAAATGTCAGAAAACAAAAAAAAAAACTGAGGTACAACAAAGCAAATAGAGGTACACAGCAGTATAAAGGGTTTAACTAACCAGGGGACTGTAGTATGGCCACCACTTCACTGTGTCCTCTCTCTCTTGCTTTGTCCAGAGGAGTCTTTCCATCTTCATCTCTCAGGTCTGGGTTCGCTCCGTGCCGCAACAGAGTCTGAACAGTGAACAAACAAGGCAAAAAATGTTCCATTGAAAAAAAGCATCACGACTGTTCATGTGATTGCCACTTGATTGGGAATACAGAAACAGCTAAGAGGAATTAGCATTTCAATTTACTTTGTCCGTTACCTTTGCTACTTGTGGCCGTCCAAAACAGGCAGCGTAGTGTAGTGAGGATGACCTCTGACCTCTGTTTACATCCGCCCCCCTCTCACACAAAAACTCCACCTGAGAAAACAACAACCACATTTGGTGTAACTAAAAATAACAAAAAACAAAACAAAACAAAAAAGTGGGGGGCCATCTAAATGCATTCTCATCTTTAAAAATTTAAATTACGTAATTTGCTGTTACCAACTAATCTGAAGTTTCCAAGCTACATTAGAGCATGAGAATTTTCCAGTGACATCTCTGACTTTTCAATGGCTTTTTCTTTACCATTTCCTGTGTGCCGAAAGCTGACGCCCAGTTGAGCAGCGTCTGTCCAACATCGTCCATGAAGTTCACTTCAAAAGCTGTGGGAGAACACACACACACACATTGCTAAATGCTCTACGGCTGTCCCAAACACAGAAACAAACCAAACCGCCATTGTTACACTTGTTGTGACTCAAGATTGAGACAGCAGTCAGAGGTTTTCATGGGAAATTAGAGATAACAGCTAAAAATCCTGGACAACAAAAACTGGGAATTGTGCGCTATGCTAAAACTACAATGCACATTTTAATCATAAACTAATCTGACTCATGCCAGTTTCATATTTATCTATTAACAGTCGGGAATGGGGACACAGGTTCCATCTTTGTTAACCTCAGTTAGGATTCTGTGTAACATACTGTCGTGCATTTACAGATATAAATCAGCAAAACTGCATACATTCAGCAACTATTGGGTATTTTTGACTCAAAAAACAAGTTTGTTGGTTTAGCGTCTAGTCTACAGGCCAGACGTCTGACCCCTGATGCCGACACGCTCACCTCCAGTGTCAATGGCGTCTATTAGAGCATCTGTATCCTTGCTGCGGATACAGTCGATGAGCTGTCGGTGTGACCTCTCTCCCGAGCTGTCCAGACGCCGCAGCCCGGGAATCCGGCCAGCTGACCCTGCGGTGGACTTTGGCAGTGCCTTTCGGCCCTCGAACAGGAGCACCAGCAGGAGGTCCACCAGCCGCATGGTGTCCAGCACACAGCGCTCATCCCCTCCCAGCGCAGACTCCATCGAGTCTGGAAGTGCTGAGCGCAATAAGTCCTAAACACATTAAAGAGCATTAGCATGCATCAACTCTGCGTGTTTTTCTATGTAAACATCATGGCTTGTTACAATAAATCAGTACATGTTGTGTGTTGTGTGGACTTACGTGTGTGACGAGAGGAGAGCCCCTGCACAGGGTGGACAGCAGGCTGACGATGGTCGACACCTGGTTGCTCAGTTTGGAGTCGGGGGCAGAGGGGGTGGCCCCTGTGGAAGGCCGACCGGGCTTGCAGGACGAGGGGCCGGACACGGAGCCCCCGGCGGCCGCCATCCGGGACAGGAGCTCCTCTGTCAGGCCGTGTTTGGCTAAAGGGGCCGGGTCCACGCCCCTGCGGGTGAATCTGTCCGCCAACGAGGCAAAGCAGCGTAGAGCACCATCCGACACCTGATGGTGAGAAACAGGATTGTGTCGATGTAGGACTAAAATTTAAAGGGAACTTCCACCAATTTGACATATTTGCTTCCATCCATAGAGTTAATGCGGGAGGCCAAACAACAATTTGATTAGCACAGCATTTTAGTATTATTCAGTATCAATTGTTGAATGTGCAAACTAATTAAATCCGAGACTGGGAAAGTGCAATTATATATTTTTATTTAGCATACTGGTTCAGTGTTTAGACCTCAGTAGTTGCAAACCAACAGAAAAGAACTGAATGGAACACTCACTAAGTCTCCGTCACTTAAATCATACAGCTATCAACAGCTGGGCTCAGATAATAACATTGTGTTGTTTTCACCTAAGCCTGTCTCCTACCAATAAGATGACAGAAGTTTCTTTCAACTTGCAATAAAAGGGCAGAATAAGACGCCTTTAGGTTGGATAATATCAGAAGAAACAAAGGAAGAGCTCAGCAACACTAGAGCTTTCAAGTCAAATGTTTGTTGTGTGGTTACCTGATGGTCCTCGTGTTTAAGGAGACTTGACAAAGACTCGACGCAGGTCTCCAGGGACGAGTCTTGAGGTTCCATCTTACTGCAAAGGCGAGAGACTACAGCCATGGCAGAGTGGAGGGTGTCTTTGTGGACCAGGTGGCCACTGTCTCTGATGAAACTCAGCACACAGTTCAGACCGCCAGCCTCAAAGACAGCCCCGGACTCTCTGGTACAGATCAACTCCAGCACCTGCAGACAATCGCAAGGTAACAAAAGTTCATTCAAATGTCCGTGGTAAATTTGTGCGTTATTTTCAGGACCATTTCATATTCTCGCTCAACTTTTTTTGCACATGAGGGCCTAAGAATATAAGTGGGTTATGTTCTGGATTTAACCTGGTTAAGGGGAAGGATTTCTTTATTATCTAAAGATCAAACAAACTTGTATTGTAAAACCAGTTTCCATTTACATATTTATGACTGGGATTTATGGCGTGGGGTCCTGGTTTAAGAAGCCTAATAAATAACTATAAAAATGAAGAACAACAAGAGTAAAATATCATATACCAATAACAGCAGAGAGTCAAAATATAAACGGTGGAGCTGAAATTAGCATTGCTAAATGTTAAATACAAATGTAAAAGCAAGA